CAAAAAATCAACAAGAGACCATTAAAAGGCAACTACAGACTGTATTTGAAAGTTGGAAAAGATAGGAGGGAAAGATAGTTACATAGGTCCCTAACATGGTATGACTTTTTAGGATCTAAGGGGTTAAGGAATGACTTAGAAGCCCGATGGCCCACTACAAATAAGCAAGGAATGTTATCGAATAGTTAAAAATGTCATATCAGGCACAGTTGATATTGAAAGTACTTGGTGGTTTAAGGTCATTCTGACCTGAAAACACAAAACTAGCAGAGTTCTGAGTGCGTAATAAAAACTGGTAGTAGAAACCATAGTATCATAAAGCAGGAATTTGCTGACTGGTACCAGGTTGATAAGATAAAGAAATGTGTTTTGGCTATACATGAGTGTTGGCAAAATTGTTTTACTTTTACTGAAAATCTTAGGAGGTGACTAATTACAGAACAGTCACGCTCATGATGAACTTTTGCAATCTTTGCTGTATATATTTCAAACCTTGCAGCTGCAAAAATACACTCAGACTTTCATCAAGCTCCTTTGTGTCTGTTTGTCATTCGCCAACTCCTTGTCCACTCTCTCGACGACCCTGTTCCCGTGGGACTGAACTGCCCCGGTCTGGGCTGGTCCGTCGCACCTAGTTCTCTCAGGGGGGCCTGTCCCTCCTCCATTGCCCTCTAGCCCCTGATATCCATGGGAACCTCCCCTGGTAATGACCAAGTATTTCTAATGGCTCCTACAAGCCAGTCCATCAGGGACTGATTCCCCTGTACTGCCTCAGATTATGCAGCCCGTGTCTCAAGGAAGGATGGGTGGTTATACTGCTCAGCTTTTCTGCTTCTGCAGCACTTAAACTAATATCATCTGCACGCATGTCCCACAGTCTTAACAAGTCAAGTGGTAAGGGGCTCCTTCACTGCTTGTTTGAAAGTCTTCCCTAGCCCCAACAGCTCCAGTGCTGAGTGTTCTCTGGTTGCCACAGTCTCTCTCATGGGACCACTGTCAAGGCCTCCATCAGCATGCTGAACCACGGATTTTCTCTTTCTTTGTATTAAAGTTCAAACCCTAGGGGCATCTCCAGCTATTTCAAGGTCATTCCCTTCCTCATAATTATCTGCCTCCTCCCATGGGTTCCAGGTTTTGAGGTCCTAGGATGAGCCTTGTATTATAGATTTAATCTGGGCTCTCTTCCCCTTTTGGCCCCCTAGCCATAAAAAAGGGCAGGATAGCACCCCTATCTCTCTTTCTCTTTTATTCGATTTGCTGGCAAAGTCAGAGGCCAGTTCTGAAGAGGCCGGTCTCGTACCCCTTTCTTACTGCCGTTCCTGTCTTACACCCGCAGTCTCAGTCTGGGTTATCTCCTCAGCCTGGAACAGATCTCCTATTACCTGTAAGAGCGGCCAGACTGCCTCTGCAGCTGTTTGTTGGCAGTTTCACCCTTGCTGTGCTACTCCCAAGGCTTGTAATGTCTGCTGCAGACCTTCGGCTGCTCTCAAAGCATCTCCATACTCTCACGGCAGACCTCATCAGTCAAGCAGTCATGCCACTTCATACCACCTACAAGAAGACTGCCATCCCAGATGTCCCCCACTGACATCGTCCACTCAGACGGCCTAACCCTAGTTACACATCTCATTACCCATGCCACTGCCACTATCCCCACCAGCCCTATGGGGATAGCTCACCACATCAAAATTTCCTGCCAGCAGTCGCCTCTTATCTAGCGTCCCTTCCATTGCTGGTCTCCTTCCCCATATCTGAGACAACATCATCCTCACTTTGAGAAGCCAGTGAATTTATTAGACTTTAGTTAAAAGTCCTTCTGGGAGGTGTAAATAATGTCCCCTCCCCAATTAGTCCGTACAACAAAATGAGGCTTATTTTCACCGAACTCGTCTGGGAAACCAGTGCATTTTATTGTGCTTACTTACAAAGCAATGAGGGTTTATTTGCAGAAGTGTGGGTGCTCTCCTTAGGAGGCCATGCTGGAAAGTCTTCATCCAAGTGTGGACTGTGACTTTCCCACAGTCTCACAAAATGGCAAGAGACCCTCTCCACAACTTCCTCAGCTTACATACCCTTAGTTCCTTCCCCTTGTGTAACTATGACTGACTGGTTGGTTGGGAGGTGTGGCTGACTTTCCATGCCCCTCCTTTCCTGTGGCGTATAATAGTCACAAACCTAGCTGTCATGGTCTTAGGCAAGTGGGTGCAAGTCATGCTTGGGAAGAAGGCATCTGCCCATGGTCTGCCTTTTGGAGAACAGTTCTATGCAACAGCTGCCTTCCCAGGCTTCTCTGTACACATTACATGACTCTTCTCTCTGCCTTTCTGTCCACCAGGTACAACATGCCTCTCTTACCTCTCTCCTGCTGCAATCCCAGGCCTTGCTTCCTCAACTGAAGCAACAAAGACTGACCATTAACACTATATCCCAGTTCCCAGGATAGTTCATCTGATTGGTCTTCAAGGGTCAGGTTCTCTCTACCCCTGTCCAATCTACCCTGGCTGATGAGCCAAGCTAGAAAATATAGTTGTGAATATACCTGTCTCTCCCTATTCTGGAGGAATATGAAAGCATTCGTCTCAGCAGAGAAGGGAGAATTATGAGATGGTAACACTCAAAGGTGTAGGATTCAGTGGTTTTTGTTTGTTTGTTTGGGCAGTCTTTCTATGTAGCCCAGGCATTTCTGGAGCTCATTATGCAGCTCAGTCTGTCCTCAAACTGCTGGCAGTCCTCCAGAGTGCTGGGATTATAGGCAAGAACTATTACAACATGCTCACATTCTTCATTTCGAACACAATCTACCTTATCTTATATGGAAAAGAAATTTGTGAAAGATTCTTAGGTAACTCACAGTTCTCTAGAGTCAAGCTTGAAAGCTACACGTGGGGGAGTAGAGCGTGAACAACACTGCACTATGATTCAGCATCGACTGCCAGTGTAGACACTATCCATGACACCAGATCCAGGAAGTTCCACCATAGTGGCAGCCCAAAGCCACTTCCTCTGTCACTACCATTTGCAGAGGCTAGTTCACATGGGCTACCCTCCTGACATGCTTCTCTTCCCAAAGCACTTTACTGGGATGTGTCAACTTGAGGACACCTCATGTCTGGAGCAACTTTGCAAGGTAAGAGTATTTCATCTTTTTATGAGTTCCCCATAGTGATGGAATTCCTACTGAAGACATTCTTCAGACACAGCAGAATGTTCTCAAGATCATGGGCGTCACACGTGACCGACATTCCTTGGAGAGCTCTCTGATACTGCAAGACAGAGTTAAAAGGAGGAAAGATTGGGAAGAGATGGTTATTGGATTAGGGTTACTATTATGATAATTTACTGTATATTTCAAAATAGCAAAAGGAAAGGATTGTAAAAGTCTTCAAACACAAAGAAATGGTAAAAGTTTGAAGCTGGGCCTAGTGAACAGCTATACTTCTACCTACTTAGAATTTGAGTTTTGAGGTGATTTGATTACTACATATTATCTTCCTATATTGAAATACCACATCAGACCTAATAATATGTATAATTATTAAATGCAGCAATTTTAAAAGGTGGTGGTACAGGTTTATATCCCCAGCTACTCAGGCAGCTGAGGCAGGCAGATCACAAGTTCAAAGCCTGTCTGGGAAATTTAGTGAGACCTGGTCACACTAAATTTACTATCTTTATTTTATGTGTACGTATGTATTGCCTGCATGTAGGTAAGTGCACCAGTGTCGTGCAATGCCCTCAGGGGACAGAAGATGCTGTCAGATCCCCTGAAACTGGAGTTACAGACAGTTGTTAGGTGCCATGTGGGTTCTGGGATTGGAACCTGGGTCTTCTGCAAGAACAGTCAGTGTTCTTAACCGCTGAGCCATCTCTCCAGCCCCTTTTATTTTTTTAAAGAGTCAGGGATGTAGTTCAGTGGTAGAGTGAGTGCTGGTCTAGTGTAGAGTCCTAGGTTCCATCTCTTATCTTTGTTAACCTTGTGCACCATGATGGGGCCAGACTGTCCCAGGTGCAACATTAATTCCCACATCTTATAATCCTATCATTATCTCAGAACTAGTGTTAGAGTTGACTCAAAAAGGAGAAATGGTCAGGATCAACTTTGAGTGGTTCCGAGGTCAAAGAAGAGGGGATTTGTGTGCTGTTGGGGAGCAGGAGGACCCCAAACCCATTCCTGAAGGCCTGGTAGGGGCTGTTGCTATCACTGGAGGGGGATTGGGAATGTCATGCTCAGTATGTGTCTCTCTCAGAGCAAACCAATTCCTTTCCTGACAAAGCAATTCTTATCCTTGTCTGAAGGCTTGGAGAGGAAAGGTCATTCCTGTGACTGATGGTGAGCAGGTCACCTCCACCTCTGCTAATGTAGTTTTGCAGGTTCCCAGCTTAGATGGGACACAGAGTGGGACAGAGAAGGTGACAAAGCCTTATGGAAAGCTGGGCTGCTCAAGTGAGGTGGGATGGCATGAGGGACTGCTCCTGTCACTGCTGGCATGGATCAGGGACATTTAGGAGAGCTGGGCTGAGTTTAATCACAGCGCAGCGCAGAGCTGTTTAATTTGCACCTGTTAGGAACAGTCGTGGTGCACTTGTAAATTGGGGGTTGTAAATGGGGTTCACCTTGTCAGACTTCACTCACAGGAAGGTTTGGAGGCTGTTTAGGAATGACATTTTAGGGGTTCTGGGGGCTTAGGGTCTGAAGTTTACCCTCTACCCATCCCCCTGATTGCAGAACACATAACTGCATTAGAAGCTCCAGGGTACCAATCTACATCCTAAGTGTGTGCATGTGCGTATACATGTATGTATGCATATGTGTGTATATACACTGTGGAGAAAAGGCACAGACACTTAGTAAGGCCTGGAAATCTGTATATTTATGACATTTACTAAAGCCATTTAATTCTTTATTCGAGAGTAAAGAATCTTTGATAGATCCCTTTTTCATATAAGGTAGGCTATGTTCACAATGAAGAACACTGAATGTGAGCAGGGTGAGCAGGATTTGGGAGGTCAGGGGCTCCTGCCCTCCACGAGGCCCCTCCATTTCCATGCTCACCTGGCTTGCCCAACACTTCAGCTACTTTCACTCCCATCTATGGGTAAAATGCTATGCTGATCCCACTCCTGAGGGGCCTCTTTGGTCCTTTTCCTTTATTTAATTCAATAAATTGGCTTTCTATGTGCAGAAGGGCACATATCGATCACCTGTCTGTCTATGATCTAAGGGTCTGTCATCTACTTACCAGCTGTCTTTCTGTCTACCTGTTTTTCTATCATCTTTCTGTCATTAGCTCTAAATTCCTTACATGTTATTAGAATTATTTAAGTCTCACAAGTCTATGAGGAATTGTAAGTTCTGGTGAATAAACTGAGGCACAGAAAGCTCGCTTGAGCTCTTTCACCTCACAGAGGTGGGAAGGGGCAGAGCTTAGGCCATGGGGCTCCAAAGCTCAGCACCGCACTCCTTCCCCTCTGCCTGACTTTAGCAGGGTCTGTACAGCCCAGACTGGGCCTCAGCAACCCCTCCTGCCTGAGCTGTGCATGGGGCAGTCCTAGTTCTCAAGACTGAAGCTACATGGTGCCAATCTATTATTGTTTCAGAGCATATGTTGAAATATCATAACCCTCAGTTAAAAATGTTAAAATTCCATGCTTTTGGGGTGGTTCTCCCAGAGACTTGTGAAACGTGGGGAACTCTTCCTTCATAACTCCATGGTCCTTTGTCAACCCTTGTGGGGATCACAGGGCTATGGCCAGTCTTTGGAGACTGGTGGGGGATTGAGTGTCCAGTTACATTATAAGGCATTGAAGAACTGAGGGCTCTTTGTACACTCCATGATGATGGCACCCATGTGTTGGTTAGGCAACAGGACTTGAAGGCCT